CCCAAACCCAACCCCCCCCGGTGTCCCCGGTGTCCCCAGGGCGCCATCGTGGCGGTGACAGGTGACGGCGTCAACGACTCTCCGGCGCTGAAGAAAGCCGACATCGGCGTGGCCATGGGCATCGCCGGCTCCGACGCCGCCAAGAACGCGGCCGACATGATCCTGCTGGACGACAACTTCGCCTCCATCGTCACCGGCGTGGAGCAAGGTGAGCTGACACACCTGGGCACACCTGGGGACAGCTGGGGACACCTGGGGACACACCTGGGGACACCTGGGGACACACCTGGGGACACCTGGGCACACCTGGGACATACCTGGGGACACCTGGGGTTACCTGGGTGTGATCACACCTGGGTTTGGGGTTACCTGGGCTCACCTGGGCCCCGCCCTCGCCCCCCCCCAGGGCGGCTGATTTTTGACAACCTGAAGAAATCCATCGCCTACACCTTGACCAAGAACATTCCGGAACTGACGCCGTACCTGATCTACATCACGGCCAGCGTGCCCCTCCCCCTGGGCTGCATCACCATCCTCTTCATCGAGCTCTGCACCGACATCGTGAGCGCACCTGGGCACACCTGGGCACACCTGGGGACACCTGGGCACACCTGGGGACACCTGGGATACACCTGGGATACACCTGGGCACACCTGGGATACACCTGGGGACACCTGGGCACACCTGGGATACACCTGGGGACACCTGGGATACACCTGGGCACACCTGGGCACACCTGGGCACACCTGGGCACACCTGGGATACACCTGGGGGTACCTGGGCACACCTGGGATACACCTGAGATACACCTGGGATACACCTGGGCACCCCTGGGGACACCTGGGCTCACCTGGGCACACCTGGGGACACCTGGGATACACCTGGGGACACCTGGGGACACCTGGGGACACCTGGGCACACCCGAACCCCCCAACCCCCAATTTTGGGTTCCCCCAGGTGGGTTTTGGGGGTCTCTCAGGTGCGTGGGCGTGGTCCCAGCTGGCCCCGCCCCTCACCTGGTCTCACCTGGTCTCACCTGGTCTCACCTGCGGCCGCAGTTCCCGTCGGTGTCGCTGGCGTACGAGCGCGCCGAGAGTGACATCATGCACCTGAAACCGCGCAACCCCCGGCGCGACCGATTGGTCAACGAGCCCCTGGCGGCCTACTCCTACTTCCAGATAGGTGAGCACAGGTGTGGGCAGGTGTGCTCACCTGGGGTCACCTGGGGTCACCTGGGGTCACCTGGGGTCACCTGGGGGCTCACTCCTACTTTCAGATAGGTGAGCACAGGTGTGCTCAGGTGTGCTCAGGTGTGCTCAGGTGTGCTCAGGTGTGCTCAGGTGTGCTCACCTGGGGTCACCTGGGGTTACCTGGGGTCACCTGGGGGCTCACTCCTACTTTCAGATAGGTGAGCACAGGTGTGCACAGGTGTGCACACCTGGGGTCACCTGGCACTGTACTCATACTTCCAGATCGGTGAGGGACAGGTGTGCACACCTGGAGTGGGGTTACCTGAGTGTGCACACCTGGGCTGGGGTCACCTGGGTTTGGGGTCACCTGGTGGGTGTGCACACCTGGGCTGGGGTTACCTGGGTTTGGGGTCACCTGGGCTGGGGTTACCTGGGGGATGTGCACACCTGACTGTCCCAACACCTGAGCCCTGAGGCGTCACCTGTCCTTACCTGTACTTCACCTGTTCCCTCACCTGTCCCTCACCTGTTCTCACCTGTCTCACCTGTTCTCACCTGTCTCACCTGTCTCACCTGTGCCAGGTGCGATCCAGTCCTGTTCTCACCTGTCTCACCTGTCTCACCTGTCTCACCTGTTCTCACCTGTCTCACCTGTGCCAGGTGCGATCCAGTCCTGTTCTCACCTGTCTCACCTGTTCTCACCTGTCTCACCTGTTCTCACCTGTCTCACCTGTGCCAGGTGTGATCCAGTCCTTCGCGGGTTTCACCGATTACTTCGTGGCCATGGCTCAGGAGGGCTGGTGGCCGCTGCTGGTGCTGGGGCTGCGCCCGCGCTGGGAGGACGCGCACCTGCAGGACCTGCAGGACAGCTACGGGCAGCAGTGGGTGAGCACCTGTGCACACCTGTACACACCTGTACTGTCCTGTGTGCTCACCTGTACACACCTGTACACACCTGTACACACCTGTACTGTCCTGTGTGCTCATCTGTACACACCTGTACACACCTGTACACACCTGTGCTCTCCTGAGCGCACCTGCAGGACCTGCAGGACAGCTACGGGCAGCAGTGGGTGAGCACCTGTGCACACCTGTACACACCTGTACTGTCCTGTGTGCTCACCTGTACACACCTGTACACACCTGTACACACCTGTGCTCTCCTGAGCGCACCTGCAGGACCTGCAGGACAGCTACGGGCAGCAGTGGGTGAGTGCACACCTGTGCACACCTGTATACACCTGTACACACCTGTACACACCTGTACACACCTGTTACACCTGTACACACCTGTCCCCGCAGACGTTCGCGCAGCGCAGGTACCAGCAGTACACCTGTTACACCTGTACACACCTGTACACACCTGTACACACCTGTACACACCTGTTACACCTGTACACACCTGTCCCCGCAGACGTTCGCGCAGCGCAGGTACCAGCAGTACACCTGTTACACCGTGTTCTTCATCAGCATCGAGATGTGCCAGATCGCCGACGTGCTGATCCGGAAAACCCGGAGACTGTCCCTGTTCCAGCAGGGACCCTTCAGGTACACCTGGGGACACCTGGGGACAGGTGTGACACACCTGGAGTACACCTGGGCACACCTGGGCACACCTGGGCACACCTGGACACACCTGGACACACCTGGGGCCAGATGGGAAACACCTGGGCACACCTGGGCACACCTGG